CTTTACTGATCAAATTAATTGATTGAATATTTACTTGATTATAAAGATTCGCTGACAGTCGCAAAAGTCGTAGTCGCTCTCATGCACTCGAGTTTAAAAACTTTTGCAGTGAGTCAGTTGATAAAGTGTAAAAGGTTTTGTTTTAAAATGTTACAGATATGAATTGAGAACAAATTCGTAGACGTGACGTTAAAATCGTTGACGTACGAAGTAAAACGTAAAACGTAAAAGTAACGTGCAGATTAGATCGACGGTTAAGCGATAAATTTATAATCAAGGATAATAAGGATATCAAGGATTCTTTTTTATTTACTATAAACCCGCCGTGTATTTGAAGCGTTAAATTATTCGCTTTTTCGCGTCGTCAGTAAAAATTAATACATTATGATGCTATATATATTATATATATATATAGTATATGTAAATTTCTCGGAAACTTCTATAAGTTCATAAATTAACGATGCATTGTCTGTAATGAAACAGTTAGAGCAGCTGCTCGGTACGATCACACATAATTATACGCGTCAAAGCTATCGGCTGCGTCACAATGTACGCGTCACGACGATCGTCTGCGTCACATTGTACCGCCGTCACGACAATCGTCGCGTCACAATGTCGCGCATCACGACGATCGTCTACGCCATGATGCAAAATCTTAGAATCAAAGGTCCCAGCGTCACAGTGTGCCCGCGCGCGTCACGCAACAATAGTGCTGACGTCATAATGCCTGTGCGCGTCACTGCCAATATTGCTGACGTTCACAATACCTGTGAGCGTCACAGGCACAATATTGTTGACGTCACAATGCCAGCGGCGTTACGGCACTACATCTCTGACGTCACAACACCGCGCACCGTCAGAGCGACAATATAGAATACGCATCACCGCGGCAGACGTCTTCACAAATATAGCGCTCCGTATTTCCCGCCTTTATACGTGTTCCCGCCTATATACGTATTTCCCGCCTTTATACGTGTTTCCCGCTTTATACATGTTTCCGCCTTTATACGTTTTTCTCGCACTATCATACGTATTTCCCGCCTTTATAACGTTTCACGCCTTTATACGTGTTTCCCGCTTTATACGTATTTCTCGCCTTTAATACGTGTTTCCCGCCTTTATACGTATCCCACTATAGACGTATATCGTCCCGCCTATATGCGTATTTCCCGCCATTATAGCGTGTTTCCCCGTTAACACGTATTTCCCGCTCTATACGTGTTTCCCGCCTATATACGTATTTCCCGCCTATATGCGTATTTCCCGCCTTTATACGTGTTTCCCGCCTATATACGTATTTCCCGCCTATATACGTATTTCCCGCCTATATGCGTATTTCCCGCCTTTATACGTGTTTCCCGCCTTTATACGTGTTTCCCGCCTATATACGTATTTCCCGCCTATATACGTATTTCCCGCCTATATGCGTATTTCCCGCCTTTATACGTGTTTCCCGCCTATATACGTATTTCCCGTCTATATACGTATTTCCCGTCTATATGCGTATTTCCCGCCTTTATACGTGTTTCCCGCCTATAAACGTATTTCCCGCCTATATGCGTATTACTTGCCTTTATACGTGTTTCCCGCCTATATACGTATTTCCGTCTATATGCGTATTTCCGCCTTTATACGTGTTTCCGCCTATAAACCGTATTTCCCGCTATATGCGTATTACTTGCCTTTTACGGTTTCCGCCTATATACGTATTCTCCGCCTATATACGTATCCCGCCTTTATTACGTGTTTCCCGCCTTTATACGTGTTTTCCCGCTATATTACGTATTTCCGCGTCTATATGCGTATTTCCGCCTTTATACGTATTTCCCGTCTATATACGTATTTCCCGCCTTTATACGTGTTTCCCGCCTTTATACGTGTTTCCCGCCTATATACGTATTTCCCGCCTATATACGTATTATCCCGCCTATATGCGTATTTCCCGCCTTCTTATACGTGTTTCCCGGCCTATATACCGTGTTTCCCGTCTATATGCGTATTTCCCGCCTTTATACGTGTTTCCCGCCTATAAACGTATTTCCCGTCTATATGCGTATTTCCCGCCTTAACACGTATTTCCCGCCTTTATATGTGTTTCCCGCCTATATGCGTGTTCGCGCCCCGCAGCAGTAGCTGCAGTACGGGATGCTGCCGCCCTACTGCCGCGCTTCTACACACGCTTTCATTAGCGCGTCGACGGCGGTCGTGACGCCGTCGGCGACAGCCGCTCCGCCCCGCCGACACGAGCGCCGACGACGACCGACTACACTGTTACTCACATGAGCGTCATGTGGCCGACCTGCGAGCGGGACCGCTGGCCGGCTGCTCGCGTGGTTCCGTAATGAAAAAGAGCTGCCCGCCATTTTCACAATCGCGCTCAGCCAATTTAGCGCTTATACGCTTATAGAATCGCGCACGCGCGTCTGCGGAGCGAGCGGAGCGGGCGGGCGGGCGTTACGTGAGTGCGTGCGTGTGCGGCAGGCACGATGCGTCGTTGTTTTACCGCCGCTGCCGCCGCCGCGCCGCGGCTCACCCCGCGTGCGCAAACATATTCCAGATTTCGCCCGTACTCGCACGAAGGGGACGCGTTAATGGAATAATTACGCCAACGATCATTGGCTATTATAGACATCCGACGAGCCGTCGACCAATCGCAGCGGCGAGACGGCGTGACGTGTTAATTATCGTTGATTTGTCAGCAGCACAGGTGAAGAAGCATAGAAAGAAGCAGCCGGTGTGAAACATCCGAGTGCGGCTCGTGTGTATGGTATATCGGTGTTACGGCGTATATTAAATCACGTTTAAGAATCTTTCGTTGACTGCTATATTATTAGCGCAGTCTAGTGAGACAGGTGCGATAGTAGGCATAATACCAGTAAACGAGCCGCATATTGTCATAAAAATATTACCTTATGAAGCGCGAATAATTTAATAAAATATATGATTGTATATTTTCATTATAAATATTAAAATTTCTCAAGTTTAAATTCAATTTGGTTTGTTTAATTAATAGGTATTCTACTTTCGTTATGATTAACAACAAGAAACTTATATTGTACGTCGCGTGTGGTCGTAAGTCTTTATGCTGAACAATCGCTCAGTGTGCTTGTATTTATTTTTGGTAATTACAAAGTAGGAACTATAGAAGCAGCGAGTCTTCGAATGAGTATAATGCTGAGTTCAAGCAGCGCCCTCTGTATTAATGATACACAGATAAATTTCCACCCTCATGCGCAGACATACACACGCGTATTCACGAACTGACTTACGCACGCACGCCCGCACGCACGCGTGCACACAAACACACATAAACACGCTCGCGCCAAGCGATATTACTATACACTACACCAAAGAATTACAATAAAATGTTTTAGTGTGGTTTTTAGCGTCCCAGATTCAGTGGCGCCCCCTGCCACGACGCATGGCTGTAATATCATACAGCCGCAGTTTGGAAGTATGAACGTGGTCTTGTGTATGCTATACATAGTATGGCACGTTAGTACAAGACAGGTACAGGGAAAGAAAATGACCACACCTCTCCCTATACTGATGATTGGAGCTCCTACAATAGGAGGCTGATACCATACGTTGCTTTAACTGACCGACGTTGGTCGTTCATACCTTACAGGTAAGACAACCCAATACAACTGCCACTACTCTCGCCATGACACGTTGCAAAATGCACAGCGTATTTAACTACGAAGCGCTATCGCAAGACATGCTATACCGAGCAGTAACACCTTGCCGCACTAACTCTACAGCGCTGGCACTATGCTCTATCAGCATTTGTATATCACTATATGCTAACTACTAGCCTAGTAAACACGGAACATTCTCGTAACATTCGCTGGAGGTTCTAGTTTGGTTACATTAGCCAAAACATATTCTAAGAACATTCCCATATCGTTATGCATTCATTGGTTTTACTTGGGTGAAAGAGTTATGTTCTTGGAATGTTCTCGTAACATTCGCTGGAGGGTTTAGTGTGGTTACATTAGCCAAAAAATATTCTAAGAAGATTCCCATATCGTTATGCATTCATTGGTTTTACTTGGTGAGAGAGTTATGTTCTTGGAATGTTCGGAAAACGTTAACCGTCCTCGGATGGGTTCGAAAACTCCTAATTGCCGTTTTTGTGATGTTGCAAACTATAGCACAGGTATCAATGTATTTGTTCGCAGTGGCTCGGGGACGGTAGCCGTATCTTAATGTCTCAAGGCTACGGGTACGGTAGTCCATTTGCGCATGCATCGCTTTCCCACAAAATAATGTCGTTCACTAGCTATTAATGAATCTCCAGCCTGCCGTACTCGAGACATTAAGATAAGTCTGCAGCGCATACGTAGTGTTGCTGCCGTTAATATGTCATTTTCGGAGGTTGATCAATGTTATGTGAATGTTGGTAAAAACGTTCTCAGAATGTCAGGAAAACTTTCCTAAACAACGTTATTAGAACGTTACTGAATAATGTTCTGCTAACCTAAAAGAAACATTCCCGTAACATTCAAGGAACATAACTTTGTTAGCTGGGAGGATACTATATACTAGTATATATCACTGTATACTAGCTACTAGTATACTATATACTATAGTATATATTACTGTATATACTAGCTACTAGTATACTATATACTAGTATATATTACTATATACTAACTACTAGTATACTATATACTAGTATATATCACTTTATAATAGCGACTAGTATATATCACTGTATACTATATACTAGTATATATCACTTTATAATAGCTACTAGTATACTATATACTAGCATATATTACTGTATATACTAGCTACTAGTATACTATATACTAGCATATATTACTGTATACTAGCTACTAGTATACTATATACTAGTATATATTACTGTATATACTAGCTACTAGTATACTATATACTAGTATATATCACTTTATAATAGCTACTAGTATACTATATACTAGTATTATATAGGATATATCACGATATACTCAGTGAACACCCCGTGAACAGAGCGTCTAGCACATGCCGACGTGACTCGTGTGTGTGTGTGTACTTCTTACCTGCACTCTTGCCTCGGTCAGGTTTGCCCGCAGCGCCAGCTGCTCGCGAGTGTAGACGTCCGGATAGTGCGTCTTCTGGAAGATCCTCTCCATCTCCTCCAGCTGAAAACTCGTGAACGTCGTCCGGTTCCGGCGCTTCTTCCGCTTCGCGGCGGAGTCGTCGTCGCCGCCCTTGCCGACGGGAGACTTCGGCTCCGAGTTGAGATGATCGGAGGCGGCGGAGGCTGAGGCGGAGGCGGCGGGAGAGTCGGAGCGCGCGTCGCGTTGCTCCGGCAACGGCTCCGAGGAGGAGCAGCGCGAGCGGTTGAGGCTCGATCTATCGTCATCGTCGCTCGTCATCGGGTCGGAGTGCAGTTCGCTGCGGCGGTTGTCCGCTGCTGGAAAGACACGCGCGGATACACCTGTATGACGTCACTGCGTATGACGTAAGCGCATGTGACGTCAGCGCGTCTACGTACGGCCGAAGGGCGGTTACCGGAGGAAGGAAAGAGAGAGAGAGAGAGGGAGGGAGGCGAGAGGATGCGAGGGGGAAGGAAGGTAAAGGAGGTCCTAAGGAAAAGAGATGAGCCAAAGAGAGATGAAGAAAGAAAATAGGAGTAATAGTGAAGGAGTGTGTAGAGGAAGGATCTGATGGAGGCCGGCAGAGAGGGAGTGAAGGTATATGTGACGGAGAGAGCGTAGGTCACTTTGTAAAATACGAGCGGTGGTGCTGTAACATAATATTGTAACTGGTGCGGACATTGCTGAAAAATTTGTCGCATTCGAATCGGATATGTTTGATTATATTTATTTATACTAATTGAAAATTGTTCGAATAACGTTTGCTGTAATATAACAGTTAAAAAATTAAGAAAAATTATTAATCAATACATATATATATTGACTAAAATTTTCTTCATATATATATATTTCTTGTGAGAAGTCTCAGAACAGTTCTAAGCTAAACTCCAATATTCTCGAAAAACAAAAACGTCTGCGGGCACGCGTCAAACAATATCGGTGACGTCACGCACCGTTTTGCACCATCTTCAGCTGGTTGCCGAGTATGTGGTCGATGCCATGCTGCGACACGATGCCCGTCTCCCCACGCGACAGGTAGATGCCGGCTGCGGCCGCCGCCGTCGCCGCCGCCGACGCCGGACTGGCCTTGAACTTGCTCTCTCGGACGGCGTACAGTTCGTCGTAGGACGGCGAGTCGACGTAGAGTTCCGTTTCGGACATGACGGCGAGCATGCGACGTGCGGTTGTGCAGCAGATCACGGTGCGCGGGAGAAGTTACGCTGGTTGACACTAAGTAAATGGTAGCGTCTTCGTCACGGTATGGCGCGCGCTTCGATGTGTGACACGTTTAAATGTTGTCGCCGTGTATGTGACATGTAACAGTCCCGTCACTGCGTGTGACACTGTAACAGTCCTGTCCCTTGTATGACACGTTACAATGTATGACACGTTGCAGTCCTGCTACTTGTATGACACGTTACAATCTATGACACGTTGCAGTCCTGCCACTTGTATGACACGTTACAATCTATGACACGCTCTCTCTCATCTCCTCTCTCGTCTCTCCCTTCATCTCTCCTCTCGTCCTCTCCTCTCTATCATCTTCTCTCTCTTCTTTCTCTCTCCCTCTCTCTCTCCTCTCTCTCGTCTCTTCTCAAATCTCTCTCTCTCTCTCATTTCTCTCTATCTCTGTCTATCTATCGGCTCCGATCCTATCTAGCCATTTTTCAGCGTCTTTTCTGCGCGTTATCTGCTCTCCTTCTCTACCCGCACTTGTTCTCCCTTGCTTTTCTCACTAATAAATCTCTGTTAATTACTTTCTGTCTGTCTCTGCGCCACCTCGTCTCTTTTTCCCCTCTCCCACTGCCGTCGGGTCCCTCTCTCTCTCCCTCTCATCCGCTGACAGCCGACCTCCCCTCTTCTCTTCTCTCGCCTCTCAGCTCTCTCTCTTTCTTCTCGTCCTCGTCTCCTCTCTCTCATCCCAATCGCTTCTCGCAGCCTACATCATTCCTTCTCCGCATCTTTCCCTCACCGTCATGTCACGTTTTGTAATAGCCAGCGAGTAATTGAATTGAGACAATTTAAGACAAATCCAATAAGACGAAGCAGAAAAAAGTTTTTTTTTTTTTTGTTTGATTTGCAGACTAATCATGTGGACGGAACATTTTGCCCGCCGAATCCGTGGCGTTACACGCTACCAATCCCTGCCTCCGTGAGCGGTGCAAGCCAAGAACCCCGCGAGCAGATAAACTGCATCTCGCCTATCACGACCCTCATCACGCTACCACTCGGGCGATTTTCGCGGACAGTTCGTGTGAAAAGCGACGTTGGCTATTGGCCATAGTTTTCCGACGCGAATTCATTGTTAATATCGCGAGTCGTTGTCCCTGCAAGCCGCATTAGTACCTCGACGCGCGAAGCAATACGAATCCCGAGCGAGTTTACGTTTCGCCGACTTAGTCCTAACTCTTCGAGACCTAAACACGGTCAGGCGATCGCTGTGACATCGAGAATGTTATTTCTTCCTTTTTTCGTACTTCCTCTTCCTCTCACGTTCCTTCCTTCTTATCTAGTCTTCTTCTCTTCTTTCATTCTCCCGCAACCGCCGTCCGCCGCGCCTTGCGCTTGTTCGTATTTCTCTCTGCAATTATTCATTCTTCGCCGGTTTCTACTTCGTTACCAGTTTTTTCTCTGACGAGCGAGCAAAGGGAACTAGTGCAGAGAGCAAGAGGGGCGGGGGGAGCCGCGAACGGGTGGCGTAAGCGAGAGATATAGTGAGAAAAAGCAGTGAGCCGAGGTAGAAAGAGCGAGTGAGAAAGCGCGAGAGGAGAGAGAGAGAGAGGAAAAGAAAGAAGAGAGAGAAAGAGAAAGAGCGAGAGAGGAGAGAGAGAGAGAGAGAGAAGAGAGAGAGAAAGCGGAGAGAGAGAGAGAGAGAGAGAGGAGACGAGAGAGCAGAGAGAGAAGAGAGAGAGAGAGAGAAGAGAGAGAGAGAGAGAGAGATGAGAGAGAGAAAGAGAGAGAGACATTCGTTCGTCCGAACAGCAGAAATCCGGGGTGCGAATCAAGAAAACTACAAAGAATTTTGGCCAAACCAGAAACTCGGCCATATGTGTGGGCACCTTCCCAGGCGGGCGATCGCCTTCTTCTCCGAAGCGGCCGATAAACTCATTGGAAACTAATACTAATGGATCTTTTAATAAATAAGGCGTTCACGAGGAGGCAAAAACTCGCCTAATGGCTTTCCGCCGAGCGCTACTGTAGTTTTAATTGGGAAAACTGAGCTGGTGAGAATAATCATAGACGAGTTGCTGTATCCGAAGTACTCCGAAGTACTAAGTTTTTCCCTCATCTCTTCTCTCTACTCTCTCTCTCTCTGCTAGGTCCCTCGTCGTCTCGTCCTCTCCTC